TGCTGATGGTTTTTTCCCACTCCAGGCTTCAATCGGAGTCTTATCTTGGACTGCCTTAGTTGGGCATCTATTAAGTATGTAGACAACAATATAAACTGCTTCAGCCCAAAACGTGTTTGGTAATCCTTTCTCCTTGAGCATTGATCTGGCCATCTCCAATATTGTGCGGTTTTTCCTTTCAGATACTCCATTTTGTTGTGGAGAATATGCAACTGTAAGTTGTCGCTCAATGCCTTCATCTTCGCAAAATTTATCAAACTCATGGGAAGTGTATTCTTTGCCACGATCACTTCTAAGTACTTTTATTTATTTGCCACTTTGCTTTTCGACAAGGGTCTTAAACTTCTTGAAAATACCAAAGACTTCTGATTTTGCTTTTATGAAGTAGACCCAAGTCATTCTAGAAAAATCATCTATGAAGAGAATGAAATACCTGTTATTATGGAGTGATGACGTTCGCATTGGTCCACATATATCTGTATGGATCATCTCCAATAAGTCATTTGCTCTCCATGCTTTGCCTGTTGAAAACGGTAGTCGGTGTTTTTCACAAGCTTCACTATTCTCTTTTAGGCATGGGAGATCTCTCATCATATTTTTTTGATATAATAACTTTAAGGCATGTGTATTAAAGTGGCCAAATCTTCGATGCCACAGCCATGAGTCGTCTACTTCTGCTTTCATGGCAATGTTAGGGCCTTGTCTCAGGCTTATAGGGAAACTTCTATTCCTCTTCTCCATTTTTACTCGGCCAATCTCTAGTTTTTTATTGTCATATATTTTACATGTGTCTCCTTCGAAATGGAGAGTATAACCTTTCTCCATCATTTGGCCAATGCTCAAGAGATTTTCTTTAAGATTGGGAACTAGTAGAACATCAGTAATAGTCTCGTACCTTTTTTCGTCTCCACCATAATTGCCTTTGCCTTTTGATTCAACGACAGTTTCGTTCCCCATTCGAACTTTCACCTTGACGGATTCATCAATATCCTTGAAGATGCTTGCATCTTTGGCCATGTGCTTGCTGCAACCGCTATCCAAGTACCAATTTCCACTTGGGGGGGGATTGGAATCTTGGGTAGCATAGAAAAGATGTTGCTCACCATTTTTCTCTTCAGCAAAGTTTGCATGATGCTTATTTTTATTGCGACAATACTTCTCCACATGTCTAACTTTGTTATAGTGGCGGCATTGTGGCTTTCCACGATATCGACAGTCTTTCTCGGCATGATTTGTCCTCTTGCAAATGCCGCATGGAGGATATTCATTTTGATAATTTCTAGAGAAATTTCTAGAATTCTCTTTATTTCTAGAAGTTTCTCCATTATTCCTTTTATCTTTATTTTGAGACCGTAATTTGAGCTTTGATTGAAAGACATTTTCAGTTGAGTCTTCATCGTGCCTATTCAACCTTTGCTCATAAGCTTCAAGTGACCCCATCAACTCTGTTACTGATAAGGTAGATAGATCTTTGGTTTGCTCAATTGTTGTCATGATTGGATCATATTTACAGGGAACACTAATTAGAATTTTCTCCACAATTTTCTTGTCAAGAATATTTTAACCGTACGCTCTCATTTGGTTAACTATTTCTTTTATCTTAGAATAGTAGTCCTTTACAGTCTCAGATTCCTTCATATTTAACAATTCAAAGTTATGCCGTAGAGTTTGCAAAATTATGGCACGTACCTTTTCACTTCCTTCGAACTCCTCCTGCAGCGTAGTCCATGCTTCTTTGACTGTTGTTGCACCCATTATTCTCGAAAAAATTGTGTTGGTCACAGCTTGTTGCAAAATGAATAACGCCTTTGAAATTCTTTTGTTTGTTCTCTTTTAACTCCTTTTTTTGAGCCGCAGTAAGAGATGATGTGTCTTCTGGAGTAGAAAATCCTTCTTCTATCGTGTCCCATAAATCTTGGAAGGTGAAATATGTCTTCATTTTTGTACTCCAAAAATCATAATTTTCACCATTAAAAATGAGAATAGGGATAGATGATGGTTGAATGGTGTTAGCCATGGATTAGAATTTTTTTTTAAAGTGGGTAGAATATTGGGAAATTTTTTTTTAGAAGTAGTGGAGTAATATTTCTACGCCCAGTAGATGACCAAATGTAGCTCTGGTACCACTGTTAGTTTATGAATTATCAAATAGTAAAGACTTATTTTATTGGTAGAAGGAATGGGGAGGCAAATTTATAATGATAGGTTTAGTTGAGATGAAAACTAGTTTAGAGGAATAGTTGGAATTGATTTGAGTAGTGAAAATGACTTACTAGTTGCTTGGTATACAAATGTTGGGTACATGGCCTATTTATAGGCCTCAACACATCATTCATTTTTTATTTATAAAACTCTAGAAATATCTATTCTATAATTTTCTATCTATATGTAATTATCTACATAATTCTAGAGTTTGTATCATCTAGCAGTTACTAGCATATATCTATATATTTTCTATAATGATCTAGCTTATTCTAGAAGTTTGTACCACATTTTAACAAAAGCACATTCTTTCTCTAGTACACATATTGATTTAAATGTTGAAATTTGGTAAAGTTGTCACTACCGTTACTCAATTTTGACATGATTCATTGTCTTCCACCATTTTCAATTGGCATTTCAACTGTCATTTGATTCTTACCCGTATTGAAAGCTTCCTTTAAGTTCATCATTGGACATTAACATTTTTAAGTGAGAAAATCTCATCATTCTTTCATAATGGTTAACTCAACGAATTAAGGTTTCTCAAAAGTAAAGGGTCTACCCCAAACTTTTTTTAAACAGCACTTGTCAATTAATACGTAAAAAGCTACGATTGCATCGGAGAATTCCTTCTTAAAGAATCAACCACTTCTTGATTCTTATTGTCCCTTGGTTTAGGAAATGGCACCAGATAGAACCATCTCAATGGAACTCTGATTATCAAGAATATCTTAACCTTAAACCATCTTAGTTAACAATTAGTTAGTTGACAATATTCTAGTTAGATGTTAGTTACTCATCAGTTACAAATTTGGTTAGAAGATTAGTCACTCCTCTCACATCGGATATATATATGTCAAGTATAGCTTGTTGTAATTAATACTTTTGTTATTAATCAATCTCAAATTTATTGACTCCTCTTATTTTTCTTCATTTTGAGTCACTCAAGTAATTAATTCTTGAAAATCTCACATTATTTTCACTTTGATACATTATATATCCTGTGAAGGCTTTTTAACATGAAAACTTCATTTTTATTATTAAATATGCATCGTTTTCCATTATATTCTTCCTTTACGCTTACGAAATTAGACCCTCGTGTTTATAGTTGGCGTTGTTGCTAAATTCAAAAACACTGCTTTACTACCTTACTATTTTTGACATATCCTCGGTATTTGCGATCTTTTTGTTGGTTTTGTTGAAGATTCCTGAATGGATGTCTTTTTCTTATACTTACTAATGAAACCGATTTCTAGTCAAACTTTTTAAGGCTTGCTTTATAAATTCTTGTAACAAATAAATGGAAGACATTGAGTTCTTTTTCCGATTAGAGAAGTGTCATTTTTTTTTTAAATTCTAGTAGTGTTCGTCATCGCTTGATCGATAAATAGCACCCTATTTATTATAGATAATCTTACTGAACCTATCATTTCTATATATATTTTTTATTTGGTTCTCTATATTCTTCTCTTAACACACCATTAATTAATCTATATTCAGCCATTCAATTTAGTTTTTAGAGTTTACTACTTTTATATTTCCTTTCCTCATTTTGACTCATTATTGTATGTACCATCTTGACGCTTCCAGACTTTGAGCTTTTTAGTTAATCTAAGAGCTTATGCCCATAGCTTTCATGGCATGGTGGTTAAGCCAGATTCTCCTTATATATTACTATGAATAAGGAAAAGAGTTACTTCGTGCATGTATATATTTATTTTTAAAGAATTTAAGAAAAAGATAATTGTAAATAAAATTATTAAGATTTGAAAGTAATTGCGTAGTAAGTGATTTTTTATTTTTTATAGTTGCAAATGAATAATTTTAAAAGTTATAAAATATGTAATGTGATTTTAAGGAAAGAACGTCTGATAAAAAAAAGGAAAAAAAAATAGTTACTGAAAACGTATATCTTTATAATAAGTATAAATGTTGACAATTGATTTGGGTGTGAGCATCATGCATTAAGTTCTCGTATATATTGTGGAATTTCACATGCTCTCCTCATTTCTTGTGAAATGTGACATATACATGTTGAGCACATGTTATATATTTATTATTTACACGCAACAGTCCTATATAAGAAATAAACATACTGACCAGAGATAATTTAGAATTCCCTAGCTAAAAAAGAAAGCAGTCGGATATGTCCAAGCCAAGTATAATTAATCCTTATTCACTCTTTAGAAACCCCAGATTGTCGATGCCATGATATTTATGTAAGATTTCACTTAAACTTGTGAACCTTAAAACCAATTTGCTACCTGTAATACAGATAGTATATGAGTCTAGATGATAGTATATGAGTGTAGATGAACTTGTGCAATTTTTTTTTTATCAGAAAAAAGATTATGACAAACAACAGTATTTAAATTTAGAACTTTGTGTATATTATCTCAAATTTTACTATTAAGTTAATTCTAATGATTTATATGAAATTTATTTAAACTTTAAAGATAATTTATGATTTTTAAGTGATTTTTTAATATATTTTAGTAAGTTTCAAACAGAGAAACTTATCAAAACATTTTTTTTTTATTTTACTTATTCAAATAAACTTTATGGATAACTTATAATATAAGCTGATCTAATGTAATTTTGGTGTTCTCTTTTCAAGATTTTTTGGTCATGTTTCCCCTTCAAAGCTGGTTTTGTTTTTGCATGGAAGGTCATCCTTCAAAGAGTTCCAACTAAACAAAAATTGTCAAAAGAAATGTACTTTAAATTCCTCTGTCGATAAAGATTTATGTAGCTTATGAAGAGTGCAATATTGCTCATTTGTTTTTCACCTTTTTCAGACCGGGCATGGATAGAAGTGTATGCGTGGCTGACATTTCATATTGTCTTATCTTTGGACACTAAGTCTCGTTTTATCCAGCATAGAGATTTGGTTTGAAGGAAGAGGTCTAAACTCTAAACAAATTAATTTGGATATGGTTGCATGGCTTTCGGTAGTTTAATTGGTTTATTTGGATTATGCAAAATATTCGGATTTTCATTAGGCATGAGAATTTCAATATGATTCGCTTATTGGACCTTATCAAAGTTAGATGATTTTACACTTATTGGTAAAAAAAATATCTATCTATGATTTGTTTTTGTATCCTTTTCATTGTATGCAACAGCTTTGTTAGAATTATGTACATATAGATGATTTTTATGTATATTAGTTGGAAAAAGATGAATACACTTGGAGCAATAATTTTTTAACATTAAACATTATCTCATCAACACATCTAATTTGTCTATATATCTCTCTTTCTATCATATTATATAACATCGTCTTACATACTTATATTTTTTCCCGTGTTGGATAGCATTTGGAGTATCCAAATATATTTTTCTCATTTCTTAGAGTATGGGTGAAAGGAAAAAAATTGATAAAGAAGAAAAATAATATGACAATGATGTGATAAAATATAAAGAGAAGGATAAGAAAGTAGGATAAATGTGAGATAGGAGAGAAAGTGAGTATATGATAATAATAATTCATTAGTTACTGGCTTGAACTCATTTTCAATAAATACTTTGTCAATAAAAACGAAACGATCTAATATAATAAACTTATCGAACAAGCAGTTAATTAACTGTTTATCCAAATATACTCAATTTACTTGAGGTTGATGTAAATTCTACTTTGTACTTACGCATCACAATGTAAGGAATGCTTTGTGATTCTTCAACTTTGTGCAGCTGTACCCACTGATCTGACCTCTTCATTTGGTAATATAAAGGAATCCAAACTTCAGAAACTACAGAGATGTCAAAGTCCGCATCCTAGTGTGTTTATGTTTCCATGGAGAAAGAATAATGCATGTGTGTGCTATCAAATATATATATGATGTTGAAGGTAAAGTCATACATCCCGTCAAGAGGATTATTAGTAGTAATAATTAGAAATTGAATAATGAAGAATTCTGTGGATACTTATGCTTGTGTTCACTTGTACTTAATTCAAAGAATCATGTAATGATAGTAGCTATAGTATTAATTTAGAGAAATTTAAGAATTTTGGTACAATTATTTTTTGGTTGATTATTGAACGAATTTTGAAATACATATGAAAGAAAAAGAGGGTAGAAGAGAGAGGGAGATTTAATTTCTCAATAGAATTTCTCTTATCTAATTGAGGCTATGGTGTAGTCATTATTCTACTAAATAGAACATGAGCATGCATTGATATCCTTATATATTATCTATCCATGGTAAAAACTTTTGACGTGAATCTATTGGTTTAATTATCTATTGTACGTATATATAGAGGCATAATCCTTAGTTTTTGTATAAATAAGAGACTTAGCTTTGTTTCAAGTGTGTGAAGAAATATAATGGTCATCTTTGTTTATGATTTTTTTCTCCTATAACATTACATCACAATAGTTATATTACACATGATTATCAATTAAGTCTATATACATTTAAATTAATGATATACATCTTTACATTTTCATATTTCATTTTTTCCATTATATACTGATTTATTCTCCAACATTTAGATTCCCTGTCTTCAAGAAAATAGTTGGTTTATCATATATACACAGTAAAGCCTAAATCTTACACTACATATAGTTTCATAATGTATTATTACTTTGTTTATAATAGAGTTTGATATCTTAATATATGTCTTCACAAAGCAAAACTTCTTTCACACCAATAATATCAAAATTAAACTTTAAGAAAATTATCATTTAAATGTAGTGAAGTTTAAATGAAGAGATACAATATTAAAACAACTCAATTCCACTCATAGTACATTAATATAATTGTTTTGTTTTGCATACACCACCAAGTACATCAAGCTAGCTAGAGACATACATGCATGATACAAATGGAACACCCCAAAAACTCAACTAAAAGCACAATAAATACAACAACTTGATGAGAATCATGAGAACAACACAAATAGACATCCCAAAAACCCCACTATTCATGACCCTTGTTTAGTACTAGATACATATACTAATACTATTGATCAAGAACCCTCTTGGTGATGTTGGGGTCGTTAACGTTGTTTTGGCTGAAAGTTGTAGCAGGTACAAGTGGCGATTCCCATAACACCCCAAGGTCATCATCGTAACCTTGCGGTGCATGAGGAGCAGTGGTGATTGAAACCAGAGGATCATCACATGGTAGTGGAATGCTACGCTCACTCGGGATCTCTGTTTGCACCTGGTGCTGTTGCGCCGCGAAGGCTTCATCGTTGATCAAAGAGTTGAGGAAGGAAGAAAAAACATCGTCCGAGTAATAGTTGATGTTGATATCATCATTGCAGTCCTCATTGTCCATGAAACCCATCGCAGAAACATCATCGGTGGTTACAGTCGCAGGTACAACCGGGTTACTAACATTTTGATTGTGATCATAGGGATTACAAGCCTGGGTTTGTTGATGTTGATGTTGACCCAAATGATGAACATGAACTTGAACTCCTTGGTTAACAATATTAGTGATATCATGACGAGGATTGTGGTTGGAGATGATCATTGAAGGAGGTTTATTAGAAGAAGAAGGAATATTTATAGAAGGTGGGTTTAGAGGCTTGTGAGTTCTAGGATCAATCCCTTGGCTAATAAGCTTCTTACTTAGATGCGTGTTCCAATAATTCTTTATTTCATTGTCTGTTCTTCCAGGAATCCTCCCAGCTATCAAAGACCACCTGTTACATTCAACATAGAGATACAAAATTAAACCCTAAAAATATGAAAACAACAAACCCTAATTCTAATAATCCACTACAAAAAACTCTAAACTCTAAATCCTAAACCAGAAACAACCAACCACATGTGTTATGCATAGAAAAACCCTAATTCTAGTGATGAGGGTAGAAATAACCCTAAACCCAGAATTCTGAAGATCAGAGCTAACCCTAAACCCTGAATCCTAAACAGAAGAAGAAGCTTACCGGTTACCGAGGAGACGGTGGAGGCGGAGGATGAGATCTTCCTCGTCAGGGGCGATGTGGCCGCGTTTGACGGAGGGGCGGAGGTAGTTCATCCAGCGGAGGCGGCAGCTCTTGCCGCAGCGGAGGAGGCCGGCGCGCTTGGGGAGCGTTCTCCAGCGACCCTCACCTTCTTTCTTGATGTAATTCGCCAACACCTCGTCTTCCTCCGGCGTCCATGGCCCCCGCTTCAACCCTACCTTGTTGCAGCAGGGAGTGGTCGTGTTGGTGTTGGTGTTGGTGTTGGTGTTGGCGTTTGTGTTCGTGTTTGCGCTGCCACCAATGTTGTTGTTACTATTGTCGCAGGTGGTGCTACTAGTGTTGCTCCTCTTGTTCTTCGTGGTTGTCGATGATGACGATGATGGGTGCCTCATCTTGTTCTCAGTTTGGGGAATGGAAGTGGAATGAATATATATAGTGCGTTGGTTTGGACTTTGGATTGTGTAAATTGCGATTGTCGCAAATTGCTAAATCTTCTTTTTTTTTTTTTTCTTTGCAGACGACACGCGCTGTGGTGCGCCACTGAGATCCACGTCTGGATATTGCCATGACAACTAAACCTTTTTGTCTTTTACTGTTGCCTTTAATTATTCTGTTTTTCTGTCTCGCTTTTTCTAAATAAAATAGTATTTAAATCTCTGCGGTACAAATGTACAAAATTAACTACTCCAAGCGTGTGGTTCAGCGGTAGGGGTTGATCCACGCTTAAGCAAGGTTAGGGGTTCGAATCATGTTTTGTATATGCAACCGCGTTAAATCTTGGGGTGCCTCCAACGTAGCGAGGATATTAGTCACTGCTGTCGGGAGTGGATACTCCAGGAACGAACAAAAAAAATAAATGTACAAAATTAACTGCTTTTCAGTTATATAAAACATGTCACTAAGTAAGGCGTCAGTACGTTTAATTATCACTATGCGTTTTCAATAGTCTTTTGGAGTACAATTACAAGACATTACAACTTTTACAAAATAGTAAGCATTATTTATTATTAGGCAGATCTTAATAGGTATAGAGCTCTAATTATTTCGCATTGCTTTTAATATCCAATTTTATGATTATTAATCAAGTAAATTACGTGGTGTAAAAAAGAAAATGGGTAAATCAAGAAAAATATGGGTAATACATTATTATTATTTATTTAAAATATATAATATAATTTAATATTGTTGGTCCCTACGGTTAGAATCTAGAAGGGGGGGTTGAATAGATTCTATGTTATTTTTCCTTTTCTTCTTTGCTTTCTAAATCTTTACCAAACAAATCTTGATTTAAAACAAACCTTTAAACATAAAAGGTAATTCAGAGTTATAAATGCACAGCTTATCCAACAAGATTTGAATAACAAGATATGTAAAGATTGAATTTATCAATTACCAAGAATCTTTAAAGTTCAGTTTCTGCAGATAATGTTTTTCTTCATACAACATTAATCAAGAAACTTATACAGAATGTAAAGAGTGTAAGAGTTAAGAAAATCATGCACCAAGATATATACTGGTTCAGCCATCCAAAGGCCTACATCCAGTTTCAGATTTAGATACACCTCTAAATCCAGTCAAATCCACTATTGATATTCTTTACATGCACCCTGCACAAGCAATATCCAATCAATGAATTTAACAAGCAAATCTTGACACCCACAAGATTAACAAACCATTTCTTGACTCCACAAGAAACATATAACCCAAGAATATTGATCCCACAATATCCTACTTGAGAAAAACCTATCTCAAGATTTCTCTTTACACAACTCTTCCAGAGATTCTCTAATCTCAAGAGTTAAAACCATTCAAACAATAACAAAAGATCAGAAACGAGTACACCTGTTCGTGTAGATATGATCTTCAACAACGTAAACCAGTTTAGAATGAATTTTCTATATGAACTTCATCTTCTTGAATTGATCTTGCACACTTCTTTTTCCAAAAGTTGATTTTCAGCAGATATGTTCTTTCTTTCTTTTTCAGAAAATCTTTTTCTCTTTTGCAGTAATGTGTATTC